AATAAATAAATAAATAAAAAGTCAATAATAGCCTAAAATGTTAATTAAGCATTTTGCTGAAACATCTGACTCCTCTTTTAATTATACAATTACATTTTTCTCAGGCTAACTACTTAGTACTTGCTGAAATTTCCAACTTACCTTAATCATCCTAAGGTATATGTGCAAAGAAGCAGCCATGACCCCAACATCTCTGTCACAAAGTGCCTTCCGAAACTTAATGTGGATATGTTGTACTTGATTAGGAGCAATGAGATAGAATTTGTATAATGCCAGAACAGCTTTTCTTCGTATAATCTCCCTATGGATAAAAAAATAAAATCTAAACAAGATAATCTGAATCATCAGGCTCTTAGTTGAAAATATTATGTGCCAGATGATTTCAAAATGTCAACTATTACCTTAATCTAAAAAAAATACAGAATGATACATTTATTATTAATGTCCTTATTCTTCTTTTTTTTTAATTTTTAATATTTATTTTTTAGTTCTCGGCGGACACAACATGTTTGTTGGTATGTGGTGCTGAGGATCGAACCCGGGCCGCACGCATGCCAGGCAAGCACACTACCGCTTGAGCCACATCCCCAGCCCAATGTCCTTATTCTAATATGTCAAACTGTAAAAAGCCTTTCGGACTTAAGACCTGAAAAGACTTTAACTGTCCATGTTAAAAAAATTTCTAGTTATGGAACTTTTTAATAAGATGCATGTATTACTTTTGAAATCAGTTAAAATAAGAAAAATTTCTAAGTTCCCTGATTGCATTTTTAAAACCCTTATCTTTAGAAATTGAGAAAACAGCCAATGTTAAGTTTAAATCAGTAATAGGTAATTTCAGTCAGTAATATAAAAATCTCTTCATTAATATTACAATTTTTTTTTTTTAAATCATGGGCAAGCCTACCCCAAATACTCTGGAGACCAAATTCAGGGCATCATACATACTAGGCAAGCACTTTATCACCAAGTTACATCCCCAAAGCCCCTCTTTTCTTTCAATTTTTGTTATTTCAGACAGGTCTCCCTACATTGCTCATAGTTCTCCTGCGTTAGCCAAGTAGCTATAACTGGGATTATAGATGGACACTACTGCACTCAGCTCTTTATCTTATATTCTTGACATAGTTTCCAATGAAATATATTACTTGTTATTCTCATGTCTATTTCTACATATCTCATATTTGTAGACTACACTAGCAGTGATCACAGTAACAGCAAACATGTCAAAAATGAAGAACTTAAATTTCAAGTGTTCCTTAACATATATTTATATTACCTAAAATCATAGAGATTATTCAATGCAATCTCTGATGTTCCACTGAAGAATGTCTTTTTTTTTTTTTTTTTGGTACTAGGGATTGAACCCAGGGGCACACAACCACTGAGCCACATCCCCAGCCCTTTTTTACATTTTATTTACAGACAGGGTCTCGCTGAGTTGCTTAGGGCCTCATTAAGTTGCTGAAGCTGGCTATGAACTCAAGATCCTCCTGCCTCAGCCTCCTAAGCTGCTGGGATTACAGGCATGCAAGATTCCTAACAAGTGGTCATCCAGCATCTGCTAAATTCTACTTAATAAACAACTCATTATCTACCTAAGTAAACTATGACACATAAATTCTTCTCACATTAAAAAGAAAAAAAGCAGATTAGCAACATATTTGCCATTAGTTTAATACTTTGGTAACTGCAAACTACATACAAATATATTGCCAATCAATATTATCCAATATTAATTCTGGCAGAGATTAGGTAAACAAGGTGAGGGAAAAGAATTATAAATTCTGAAAAGGCTCAAGAATCCCTAAGGCTGGCCCTAAGTGGTAGTACTGTAACACAAGACATCAAGAGACTTGGATCTGGGATTGGTATATTGAAATATAGGCAGGGATTTAAAAGTTGAGCCCAAGCCTGTCTCACACCTCTGTGACATCTACTGGCTTACCCATAGTTCTATTCCATATTCTTTAACTCTTCACTGCTTAGCACAGAGTTAGGTATAGCCATAAACTGCAGAAATAGAATTTTTAAAAGTCTAAACTTTAGCCAGGATCTGAAATTAAACTAGATGGGAAGCAATAACGAAAATATTGACAAGTGGCCTTTTAATTCATAGAATGATTTCAAAAAAAATGGTCAATAAGTATGGTCACCACAAAAGAGTGGTGGCAAAAAGAAAAAATTACACAAATAACAGCTGCTACAATCAAATCAACCTATATTTTACTTCCAACAACCAAATGCCCATAATCACCCTTTTTCTTCCTAAACAAACTTAATATATAAAACATAATTAAAAAGTCTGAAAACCTTCTGATGTTATTCTATAGTTCTTAGTGAATACTATCATTTTAGCTGGAAGATTAATAGTCCAAGATTTCCTAAATAATATAAAATACAAGACATTTTTACTATCTTAGAACATTAAAAACATTGACTTTGACTTAAAGCATAGGAAATAAATGAGTAACAAAAAATCTTCATCAAGAATATAATTATGTACAACCAGAAAAATGAAAAGTTGTGCTCCATTTGTTTAAAAAAAGAAATTAAATTTTTATAAAAATACTAAAAAATAAAAAAAAAGAATGTATATGTATCACCAGGCGAGGTAGTGTGTACCTGTAATTCTAGCAACTTGGGAGGCTGAACCAGGAGGATAACAAGTTCAAAAGCCAGCCTCAGCAACATAGCAAGGCCCTAAGCAACTTAGCTAGTAAGACCCTGTCTCAAAAATAAATAAATAAATAAAAAGGGCTGGGGATGTGGTTCAATGGTTAAGTGTCCCTGGGTTCAATTCCCAGTATCAAAAGAAAAGTGTATGTGTATACAACTGGAGATTATCTCAGCAGTAGACAACTTGCCTAGCATGCACTGGATACAATCCCTAGTATTACAAAAAAAAAGAGAGTGGAAATCAAATACTATAATCACAAAGAAAGAAGGAAAATGACTGCAAACTTTTCTCTAATTTTATTTTTATTTTATTTTTTTAGTAGTACTGGGAAAAGAACCCAAGGGCACTTTAACACTGAGCTATACTCCCAGACTTTTTCATTTTGAGACAGGGTTTCATTAAGTTGCCAAGGGGCCTTGCAATGCTAAAGCTGGCCTCAAACTTGGAATGCTCCTGTTTCAGCCTCCCAAGTCTCTAGGATTATAGGCAAGGGTCACAGCACCCAGCCCTTTTTACTTACTTTAAAGATTTTGAAGTTAGGAGCTTAGTCAAAACAAACTGTAAGTGTGGTGAAAAAGTGATTTAAAAAATGAGTTAAGTGTGGTGAAAAGTGAGTAGAAACTGAAGGAATCTTGGACTGGGGCTGTGACTTAGTGATAAAGTACTTGCCCAGCAAGTGTGAAGCACTGAGTTCAATTCTCAGCACCGCATATAGATCCATATACAACTAAAAAAATATATATAATTTTTTTTAAAAAAAATAGAGTGAAGGAATCTTATAAAAGCAGATTACCAAAATACTACAAGTAATGTTTATTTGGATATATCCTGCTGTAAATCAGAATTTGAACATTGTGATTTTGATATAAAAAGCATCTTTCCAATACACTAAAGTTTTAAATGAGGGAAAAAAATACACTGAAGCTTTGTATTCATAGCACTGGAACTATTTCAAAAGTTTTCTATTATTTCACCCTATATTCAAAACAACTATATGAGAACTAAGGAACTTTGCTAACTCCATGTAGCCAAGGGAAAAATAAGACCACGTAGAATTGGGAAAAAAGCAAAGGATTCCTGATACCGAGGCTTACTGTCTCTCAATTTAACTTCAGAAAGCTACAGAACATTCTTCTAAAAACACATAAAAACAACGATAATTCTATTGGAGACTTCTGTGTTACACCTGCCAAAGAATATTCTCTATTCTATTAGCACTCTGTTTACGTTATAATAACATTTTTAGAGTATAAAATATAAGCTAAAAGATGTAGACGTCTATGCCCAAAGACTTTACTTACTTGGAATGCTGAAGTTTATCTTCTATTAATGGAAGAACAGCTGGAATCATTTCTCGAGGGAAAATCTGGCTGACGATAGTAAGTGCCATACATACTTCTACCAGGTTAGTGCTCTGTAAGTCCTAGCATAATTATTAAGCAAAGAAAATATTCAGTATAAATTCTGAAACTAGGGATGCTAACTCAACACTAAAATGGTCCTATATACTTAGTAATTTTCTCCTGATTTATAATTAATTTGTACATTCAGACTTATGTAATTTTATAGGCATAACCCTATTTATTTCTTATGCCTTTATTGTCAGTAGATAAAGACAGCAAAAAAGCAGCTGATACAAAAGGAAATTATTTCTGTTCTGATACTGGTCAAACTAGTCACCTTTATTATAGATTGAAAACTTTTCCAAACCAGTAACAGAACATTTTATGAATTTTCCTCATTTAATAATTAGTACAAAGTTAAAAGGAAATAATTCTATGCAATTACTACAATTTTATACAATTGCAAAATTCTAAAATTTATACAAAATAAATATGTTCCTCTATATTTATTTATGCACAAGGTATATAAATCATTCTAACAGAATTTCAAAATATATTTTTTAAAGAAAAAATTTAAGCTACTCCAACTTTAGTATATGACTTAAAATTCAGAAAATTCCTCACATAAACACACTCTCATATATCAAAATGGACACAAAAGGAAAAAGCTCAACAATTCAATTATATTTCATTATTAATTTTAATTAGAAGCTTAGAACAAAATTTTGTGAGGGTAGATTAAACTGTGTTTTTATCTGTACAAGTCAGTTACCCAATAAATTCTATTGCCATTTAAAATGACTTTTTGGATTTTAAAGACAGTTATAGCTATATCCTATAAAGACACTTGTATCTATATCCCTTTAGATTGAACCTAAAGAGAAAAAATAGTAGCATGGAAAGTGCTTCTGTCTAAGAGTCTAGCAATCTGGATTATAATTCTAAAAGTGCATTTCAAAATGAAATAATAATAAAAACAACAAAAGCAGATGCAACAGCAGCAGCTAGTACTTCAGTGTTTCCCTTAATCCTTACAACATTATAAATTCTATTATTTATCCCCACTTTAGAAATGCAGAAACTAATCTAAATTATCTTTCTAAGCCCACCTATTTCCCAAAATTATTTAACTCAATATAATTGAGGAGAAACATCAGGTGCCAGCAGGAATAACTGAAGATGTCATATTAACCAATTTACAATACGGTACCTTTACTACTGTATTCACAAGGAGAAGCAACAGTTCATGGTTTTCATGTAGAAATAAAGAAACAGCCAAATAACCTACATAAAAATTAAAAGGAAAGGTCTAATTACTACCTATAAAAAAAATTTTTTTCCAAAGAAAATTTTCCCCAAGAAATTAAACAAAGCAATACTAAATTCCAAGTTTTAGTCAAATAATCAGTTAGAGGTAAACATAAAAACAAACTGAAAATATGAGGTTAAAACACTTCAGTAACAAAGATTTCAGGTATTCTTCATCCTGAAGTTTTTCAAAATACATATTTCACCAGGCATGTAACTCATGCCTATAATCCCAGCAGCTCAGGATGCTGAGGCAGGAGGATGGCAAGTTCAAAGCCAGCCTCAGCAACTTACCTATTAACTTAGCAAGACCTCTCAAAATTAAAAATAAATAAATAAATAAATAGAGATGGGGATATGGTTCAATGGTTAAGTGCCCCTAGGTTCAATCCCTGGTACAAAAAAAAAATTACATATTTCACAGATGAGTGCCAACTTAAAGCATTTAAATAACATTAAAATATGCCTTCTATGTCTCTTAGGAAATTTCTATACTATCAATCAAAACATTCTCTATCTTATGTCTCTTAGGAAATTTCTATACTATCAATCAAAACATTCTCTATCTTATAGCCAAATATATAATTATTCAAAAACAAATAATTATTGCAATTATTAGTGAGTTTCTGGTTATTTGCATTACTAAATAAGCCACCTAATATCAGCCCACATAATGTAAATCATATATTCAGTCACACACACAATACCTTATTAAAAACACACTGTTGAATGAATAATAACTGCAAAGGAAAGAAACACTGTCTACCAATTAGATGTATTCATTGGCTGAAATAAGCATTGCTATTTTAATAATATTAAAACATCAAAAAGTATATTTTAGGATTGAGGAAATACATTAACAGCATAACAAATGTCGTATACCTGGAATCCACATAATTCATGCCATTTTCTGTGTCACCTTTCATGTTGACAATAACATTATTAGATAGTTAACTCTGGGTCAAGTA